TTGTAGCTACCCTGGGTCCGTATAAATGCTATGTTGCTATACCTCTTACACACCTATATAAGTTCAATGCAAGAATGAGACTTCAAAGCTGTGGATTGCTGTGCGTGTGTAAAGGTTATCGAGCGGTTGACGGAAAGGGAACTTGAAGTACTGTACCTGGTAACTGAATTGTAGTTACCCTGGGTATCTATACCTGCGCCAGCTGAGTAAGAAGGGGGGTTCGGGGGGGTGGCCTGAGAAAGCACACTCGAAAGTAAAAACGCCGGCTTTCGTTTTGCAGCTTCTCAGGTTTTGTCACAGGTTCTGAGTAATGGTTGTTGATTTTGGAAAAGGTTCTGTATCACTATGTTATATACATACCTTGAGTCCCAGGATTTGCAAAACCAAAGTGAAGCAATGTCGGACAGGACGAGATGATCCCCCCGGCACACTCTCGGATGCTTCATGCTCGAGCAGAGAAGTCGAGGTTGCGACGAAACGTTGCAGTTTCCTCAACTCAAAGTCTTTGATTTGTGGAGGTTTGGTGGGTTTGTGCGTTGGTGCCAAGGTCTTTCCAGACGGCCAACACAATGATACCTGGGAGAAGGGTGGTGACGAGCAACTCTGACGAACCGACAACGCGATGCAGAAGCCAAGGGTCATGTTTCATTTTGTGCCCAGAGCACCTGGCTGCAAGGTATTGGAAAGTGCAGGCCACCTTTTTGCAGGCGAGTGGGCACTTTTTCTCCGTTTGCTGGGTTCAAAGGCACGGGGAGATGGATCATGAAGGATTTCTGGGAGAGGTGGCCCCGTTCATATCAACCGGGGCTTCTACCCAGTGCTTGGATGCTCCCATGCCAGGAGTGTTTGGCGCAAGACGGCGCCAAGGCAGGATTGGCTCATCTGAAGCTAGGAGCCTTTTGCAACTCTGGAGTTGAATGCCTACACGATCGACACTGCTGTTTTGGATGAAAGTAGCTATCACACGGAAAGAATGTGTACGCGCACAGTCACACGAATCAGAATTTACATGAACAGGATGTTTGTGCATGCCGGTGTGCACCAACAAAGGTGTATTTTGATTACCGTACATATTTGATACCGTTTTGTTTGCGAAAGGTGCGGAGTATACAGTACCTTTTGTGAGATGCACCGGGCGTGGCCAGTGACTTCGGAAATGTGCATTGGTCAGGGCAAGGTGCAACATCTGAGTCATGAACTGCGTGCCCCGCAGCGGACGAGATAAAATCGATGTTTGAGGGTAGGGTTCCCTGATGCTGCCCCCATCTCAGCGTGGTACAGGCACGGCCCAAGATCGAGGTTGGGCGGAGCGCCTGCGCGACGGCGTCAAGGAGCGATGGCGGAGTCTGTTTGTCGGAAAGGACGCTGAAACATATCCGAGATGAAAGAGTTTGTTCTAACCCGGGGGCGGAATGTTTGTGGAACACACAAACTTGCTCCACATGCTCCATGACCAATTACGCAACAAACCCGTGTTCTTCTCTGACGAAGGAACGACACTGAAGATGGCTGGGAGACCGTTGATGCAAAAGGCTGAAGCCAGTCGCTCAGCTCTTTAGAGAGTTCCTCATGGCCTTGCACCTCGGCCTTGCCACCTTTGTCCCTCTCTTTGCAAGCACTCAAGTCATGTGATCTCTGCTCATTTGAAGCCATCTCACTTGATATATCCAAATTTGAAGGCACATTACCGGGTCTCCCCTTGTCACATTGTTTGATGTTATTGGTCTGATATACAGTACTATATATATATACACATATATGCAGCTTCATTGCATATCAGCAAGTCGTTTGAAAAGCTTGGGTTTGCACAAGATAAATATGCACTGACATTTGGCCACGGGTGCCAAACAACTTGATCCAAAAAGGAAGCCTTTGTTGAGGGTTTTGTGTTTCTACGGCAGAACTTGATCCCGAGGCTGCAGACGTGCAGCCCACTTGTGTCGCACAAAGTGAGCCGAATTTGGCCGAAGGGGGCACGTTGCAAAGTCTCACTGCCCCAATAGCCCAGATCCTGGGAGGAGGCTGGAGAAGACAGGCCAAGTTGTCGAAGCGGGAGGGTCAATGCAAGTTAAGCTGTTTGTCCTGGCTTCGGTGAGCACACTTGGTTGTAAGATGTTGTCAAATCACAGAGCCGATCAGGACTGGGTTGGAACCATTACGACAGGTGCACAGCCTGTCCCAGCTGTGTCGACTACACCTCGCCCGAAAAGACTTGTGTGACCATCGTTCTTGAAACCACAAATTGGAAGACCCCAAGGATATGCGAGTGGGACCAAAAGATGAATGAACCAAAACCAAACTGAACCGGTGCGGTAGGTAGATTATACAGTTAGGTGACACAGATCATTGTTCATGTGAAATCCTACAATTTCGAAGTGACCGCATGTGTGTGCACAAAAACTGTCCTGGAGATAGGTGGCATCCTCGGCCGGGTTCAGAGAATCAACATTCGGTGAGAACGGGCTAGAATTTCCCAATGGATGGCAGATGATCATCACAGCAAGACTCCCACTTGAATTAGACAAGTTCCACTTCAGTGTCGAACATCCAGCCGAAGATCCAGCTCCATCATTTGCACAACTTTGACCTTCAGCCATGCTTCCTGAGCCATGTTGCGTTGGGCCACTTGGGCCCTGTTGTGGAGCAATGTGGCGGGAGAAGCCAAATTTGCCGAATTTGCCGAATGTAGATTCGGGACGCCAGCAGAAGTGGCAGAGATATGGGACAAGCAGACCTTGGCGTCTTTCTCCTTGTCTCAGCTGCAGGCCTTTGCAGCCCTTGCCTGTGGCCATTGTCCCCTACTCTCACGGGCCTTGCGCTGCCAGAAACGGAAGGTGAAACGGATGACCTCACCGGACTGGAAGTGGTTGGCCTTCTTGTATATGAAGGAGGAGGCCTTTTTGGCGAAGCGTCAGGCCCGGGTGGGGTTCTGTATTGCGGGGTTTGAATAGCCAATAGGATGAAACGGTTGAATACCTTAAGCCTGAGCTAGCAGCTCAAGGCCTAGTGATGCAACATCCCTCTCAGGTCCAGGGCATGGTGCAGCACGTGTGGCAGAACTACGAGGCTCGCGCCTTTGGAAAGGATGAGCTGAAACCTGTCTCGGGTCGCGGAGTGGACAGTTGGGGTGGCGTGGGGCAAACCCTGGTGGATTCCATGGACACGCTTTGGATGATGGGCTTTTACGAGGAATTTCACCGTGCTGCCACCTGGGCAGAGACACAATTGGACTTTGACAAGGACTTAAATGTAAACTACTTTGAGACCTCGATTCGCCATTTGGGTGGCTTGCTCTCTGCGTACATCTTCAGCCAACGTCCGGGGCTTCTCTTGAAAGCCATTGACCTGGCTGAGAGACTGGCGCATGCCTTTCCAAAGAGTGAGGCGGAGGTCGTGCCTGAAGAGAAAAGCCGGAAGATTGCGCGGACTGGCAGCCACCTCTCGCGCTGGTTGAGAGGTGCCAAAAACTTTTTGCAACAGGTGTTTGAGGTGGTTGAGGAGTCTGGCAGTGGAAACTATTCGGAGCTAGACATGGATGAACTTCCTGCGGATCTTTCTGAGCACCTGGCCAGCCCCAAGAAATTACCCAGGACGGAAGCGACGCTCCCCTTGTCGGATGTAAACTTGCGCACGGGCAAAGCTACAGACTTGGCGGGATATTTGTCCCTGTCCGACGCCAAGATGAATCACATGTTTGCAAGTTTCCTTTGTCCCCAGATGCCGAGAACTATGGTAATTCAATAACAAGAATGAGCTGGCTGTGCGCACTTTCGAGACAGGGTGCCGGAGTTGGTGCTGCTGGGGCCAGTGCTGTGAGCTGGCAGTGCGCGTGGTGGAGACTGGGTGCCGGTGCTGTGCTGGTGCTGGTGCTGGGTGCTGGGTGCTGGGTGCTGGGTGCTGTGTGCTGGTGTTGTGAGCTGGCTGTGCGCGTGGTGGTGACTGATTATGGGTATGCCAAGAGGGATGCACAGATGTTCCTGGAGCGTATGCATACACCCTGAAATGTGCCGCGTACACTGACCAAGAGTAATCTTCGCAATCTGGGGTCTATGCTGTTGTAATTTGTTCTTTTGCTCGTTGCGTAGGTTCACAGAGGAAAAAGGAGGGTATTTGTCAAGCATCCAGTTGCAAGGCTTAAGGATGAACCCTGAAAGAATAGGATAGGACACAAACGGTATTTTTGTGTTTGTGGCAGAGGTACCGGACATCCGGTTCGAACCTTCAAGTGCTGGACATCCGGTTGCCAAATGACTTCCGTTGAGGGTGCGGGGATCGTTGTTCGGAGAGGTGCCCAACTGCCAACGTTGGCAATGCCAACTGAGCCACGTGCATCTCACACTTGCGCGATGTGACTTCGCTTCATAATCAGCTGATCCAAGGAGACCTATGTGCCGGTGGAGTGGAAAGTCCTGGCACTTCTCACCTCAAATTGTGATTATGTGAGGCATCAAGACCAGGCCCAGTTCGTGGTTGACTGGTGTCTCAGCACATCTCCTTGATATCCCGCTGTGGGCAGGTGTTGGAAGTGCTGAACCAGAGTGCTGATTTGGCATCCACAGGTTTGGGGGCCATTTTGTTGCGGACTCTTAACAGCAATTCAAGAGCAAAACGGGTGGAGAGGCTGCTTTTTGATTCCTTCCATGCCAATGCAATGTGAGATGTGGGGATGTCGAGCTTTTTTTTCTTCATGGCAAGTTTGGGCCTTGTGCAGGAAGAATGGTGACGTCCACGTTTTTTGGCAGCATTGGGATGCTCTCACTGAGTACATGTCTGATATGTCTGCCGGGAAGCCAAGGCTATCAATGACAACAGAATCTCTTTAGGGAGCCGAGGAGATTCCTTCTATGCGTCTTGGATGGGAAGCTCCAACGAAAGAACGAATACGAAGCTTCGGTCTTTCGGCAGATAAGGAATACCTCTTGAAGGACTCGATCTTTCTTGGCACACATGCCAATCCTATGGCTCGTGCCATGTGGGTTGCTTGGTTCGATATGACTGGGGTGACTTTGGGATGACCTCCTAGTTTGGGTGGGAGGGGATTTTGAAACTGTTTGTGCAGAGGTAGAGTTCAGGCAATCCTTTGTAAACGTAATTTCCGGGTCTCGGCAACATGCCTCTGGTGCTGAGGCTTCCTTCCGTGCCAAATTGCCTGGGCTCCTAGTCGAGACGCCTCCCAGGCACGGTGGAAGGACACAGTGAATGTACGTCATGTGTGCATATACGGATACTGTAGATCTCCTGGAGAGGGCGATGGATGGATAGATAGATGGATAGTAGATATTAGTAGATATATCTTTTCTGTGCGTGTGTAGAGACTGTGAAACTGAAAAGGTGGTGCAGGTGTAGTGGGACCAAGTGGTGCTTCCACACACCTTATTCCTGCGAATGCTCGAACTTTGTGACGTTCTCGGACGCTTTCGACCAACCTGCGGGGTTTGGCACTCAGCGCGCTTCAGTGGCACGTTTTGTTCTTCCATGAAGGACATCACTCAAGCCAGCGTGGTCAGCCTCCACACATTTCTGTGAGGAGCATAGCTCGACTTTTCGAGGAACCTTTGAGTCTAACAGTGTCGAGCACAGACATACGGATGTGTATTACAACATGTTACGACTCAAGAAGACTGACAGGAGATCAGCTGCGCGTTTGCACAAGTCACCGGCAAGTTGCCAGGGGGGGTCTTCATGAGCTATTTCCACCTTAGCTCTTTGGCTCTACAGGCCACCTTGTCCTCACATCATGAAACACATGCCAGAAACAAAATTGTCACGATCGGATCCCCCATCCTGACGTTCTATTTGCATCAACTTTGTGCACTCCGATGTTTGAAATGAAGGCTTAGAAGACTTTGCGATCTAGCATGTCATCACATCAGTTTCGAAGCACTAATTCCCTCTATTTGATGGGGCCATGTCACTGCAGCTACTCCCCAACAACCTGTGGCCATCCTCCTTTGTCTCAGCAACTCGCACTTGCTGTCTGACAAGTTTTCATCTCTCAATTGCCTATGATTTGCAGTCATGCCAAACCCGATGATCTGCAGCCACCAATGTCCCAGGCAAGCGATCCGCGGCCGACCCGACCCGGCTTGGTGTCCCAACCGCAGGGTTTCAGCAGAATCAGGGCCAGTCAGCTGGCAAGCTGCAGATCCGACAGGCTCCTTGTTGGGGACTGTCACTTGCACCAGATGAGGGTATGTTTATTTCAGGACTCTAAGAGTTTGGAGTGACATGGTGGCCCAGGAAGGTCCCCAGACTTGGACAAAGGCATCTATTTTTAAAGCTCCGCTCCCCCTCCTAATAGCAACGGCCTCCAACCTACTAGCGATGGCCTCCAACCTACTAGCGATGGCCTCCAACCTGCTAGCGATTGGCCTCTAACCTACTAGCATTGGTTTTTGCTTGCATGAGGGGGCCCCCCCTAGCACAGGTGGTGGGGAAGGGGCTGAGCGGCGAGGTCTGATGGCAACCTAGAGAGACGTGAAAAGCATGCGGATCAGGAGAGGATGTCCAGGATGTAGCAAGGAAAGGCCAACATCACCGCCGACGAAGTCTGGCCTCTCGGGCAATTTTTGTTGCCAGCCTTCAAACGTTTCTGAAATTCTGAAGAACATCCATGTCGTCACAGGGACCTGCCAGGTGAACAGGCATGTGGTATGGTCCGGATGCAGATCGATGCGAGGCCACCAGTTGTAGGTGCAAGACCTAATGCGCTTGTGAAATTCTCCTTGGAGGACAAAGGCAACCTTGTCTTGTTGTGGAAAAGTCGGTCGGCGCGACAGGCCAAAGACACATGTGCCCGCACCCTGGCGGTACAAGGAACAAATGCGAGCACGATGGACGTACTCGGGAAGCACGCACTCACCACACAGGGAGACTACCGGGCCAAAAATGGTAGCAAATTGTGTAGCGCATCCATTCCAAGTATAACTAAACGCAAGTGCTTCAGACTGCGATCGAGCCCATGCGAAGGTGGGATTTGGTCCCTCGGAGGGGCGATGCAGAGGAATATAGCCATGCGCATAAAACATAAAACTCAAAACAAGTTCCATCCAAGAAGCCACAACGTGAGTGTGCTCCGGGGCAGAAGCAGGATCAGCCTGTGGCCATCGGAAGCGGCTAAGCCATTCAAGTACACATTTCAAAAGGGCGGACCCCCAATAGGAGTGTTTAAAGAACTGTGCACTTCTGATAGCCAGCAAACCATAAGGCTCCTTGGATCCATGGTCTATGTGGATGCCCCTGAATGGCCTCCAACCTACTAGCGATGGCGTTTTGCTTGCAGAAAGGCCCTCCCTGGCTCTGGTGGCGGGAGAGGGGCTGTGTGTCGAAACGTTGCGGCCGAGTGAAAAGCCATGCACAGCGGAGAAGACAGAGAAGAAGTGGAGAATGAAGAGGATGACAATGATTTTCTGGCCATTTGAGCTGTGGATCACAAGCTTCCAGCATATTGACTCTTTGAATCAGAAGCAACAATGCGTGTGGGATCGGAATCTGGTTCCCCATGCCTTCAAATCCTTGGGTGTCCAGAAGCCACTCCATGCTCCATGAATGAGAGCGGTCTCAGCAGGTGCCAAAACCTCATTGCAGAAGTGCCTTCCTCCTGCAACCAATGTGCAAAGTATCCTCGAGTTTCGAAGAGCTCCCCTTGCAAAAGATGTTGGTTGCCGAATTGGGCCATGAATGTAGGCAAGGATTTGTCCTGTGGGCCAAAGACATGAGATCTGGCTGCTTCACCAGCAGAACACCTTTTCTGTTGCTAGGTTCTTCTCTCCAAAAGAAAGGTTCGGGCCTGAGCTAAAGCTTCATCTGGGACTTGCAGTTGACTCAAAAAAGTTAAGGGCCACGACATGATACAGTCAAACTCCTCAAGATAGCCGGCCATTTCAAGTCCCCTTCGTGAACCATATAGGCAACACCAAGCCACCGAGGTCTTCTTGTGGCCATAACATCACCCAATTCCAGGACATAGGAATGCTCGGTGTGGGTGAGCATGAAATGCCGCCACTTGTGAGGATGACCCTAGGCCGCAGCACTTTGCAGAGCGCGATGCTTCTCAACAGGAGCTGGCCATTGCTACAATGCAAGCCACGCTGTTGTGCAGCGCCACTCCAGGGTGGGCATGGTGCCGAAATAGTGACAACCTCTGCTCCCCATATGGCCGCTGCCTCGAACCAGGCTGGATCTGTGGCATCAACACAAAGGCGCCAGCCTTCAGGAAAAGCCGAAAGCGCAAAAGGCGGAGCTCGTTGCCTTCCCTTGCAGCCAATAACGGACAACGATGCGTCAAAACATATGTTCTTGCTGTATCAAAGTCTATCCCCACTGCTCCTGAGATAATGTTCAGTCCCAATTCAGACAAAATCTGGCCAGAAAAGGGCCAACCCCCAAGCTCCACCGTAAAGATGGAGAGCTGGCACAGGTTCTTCAGTTCGCTTGCAAGAACACAGGTATGCTGGTCAATGGCTAAGTCTGCAACTGAGGTCTCTGGTGGGTATAGCAATGCTGCATCCCAAATCGTGCACTCACCAGAAAAACCTCGCAAGCGCAAGTTGTGTAGCACAGCTCGTTGTGTATCTTGCCATTTGAGCCGGAGCTTTCGATATCGGCATGTCGTTTCCAATCCAGAGAGAATCCAAATGCACCTGGGCAAGGCTTCGTCCAGCGGATGCGAGATGGGATGCTTCAAAGAGCCATAGATCACTAGGATCAGCCAATCCAAAATCCTGTACCAAAACGCTCGGTTTCTCAGGAAGATCACCGTGTGGATCCCCCCAGAGAGCAAACTCCCCCAGGATGGATCGAATGCCAGCTTCCAATCCAGGGTCTGCCGACCTGGCACAATGAAATGGCAGGGCCCACTTGGTACCCCCTATCCGGAAGGGGGATCCGCCAAGACGCACTCGTGAGGAGGCCTGGGTCTGAGTGGCTACTAGCGACGGCCTCCAACCCAATTGCGATGGCCTCCAACCTACTAGCAATGGCCTCCAACCCACTAGCGATGGCCTTCAACCTTTTTAGCGGTTGCCCCAAAATAAATAGCCACGGCCTCCAACCTACTAGCGATGGCCTCCAACCTAACAGATACATTTCAACCCACACAACAGTTGCTCACGGCTGTCCGTCAGGAGCGCAGTCAACGCTGCGTGGCTCTTCGCTGTAGTTTTGCTCGGGCGGAAAGTCCGCTCGGCTCGGCGGGCTCGTGGAGGCGGCGCATGGCTCGCATGACGCCTCATCAATCTTGGGCCGGTGAAGAACTGTAAGACATTTTTTCTGAGAGGAAGAACGGTCCATTCAAATGACAAGGTTAATAGCAACATATTATTGAGTGTACACATTTTTTTGGATAATGGTCTCTCACCCTTTCTTTCTTTCTCTCTCTCTCTCTCTCTTCTCTCTCTCTCTCTCTCTTGAAGCTGGACTGCAACTAGTGTTTGGCTGACCAGGCAGTGAAAATGAGGCATCCATTATGAAGGCCCCGCAGAACCTCTACGAACTCCTAGGTGTGCAGGATGATGCGAATGCAGAATCTCGTCTCCACAAGCCAGGTTGAGGTATTCCCAGGGGAACACTCCCTCCGTATGATGCGGCTACCTCTAAAGCCCTACATATGGCTGCGGCACAAAAATGCACGGTTTTTTTGATCCTTTCAGTTTTGAGACTTGCCCATCTCCTTGGAACAAAGTTGTGCCACTCTGAGTAGATGCTGGGGACTGGAAGATCTTAAGGATGAGATCAAGAAGGCTTACCATGACAAGATGAAGATTTGCCATCCGGACATCGCTGGCGATGATGGACTTGAGCTGAGGATTTTCCGCCGTAGGCGAAAACCGAGGCAGTCCGCTGAACCGAGGTGAAGAGATTTGCATATTGCTCAATGATGCATATGACCTCCTCTCTGATCCAAAGGAAAAGAAGGCTGGAGTGGGATATATATATATATATATTTGTTTTTTTAAAGATCCGACATTCAGCGACTTCAGACTTCTTCCGCACGGCAGAGATGCGTGTGGTAAAAGAGCCAAATCATACACCTAGGAGGCAGTTAAAGCAATCCTTGCGAGTACCAAGCAACCTGCAGCTGAAAAGAGCCTACTTCGAAACAGATGGATGGTGAAACAACCCAGGAGTCACATCCTTGCGGCAGTGCATAGTATAGGTACTCTAGTAGGTGCTCTGTTTGTGCAGACAAGTTCAGGGAGCCTTTTGGCTTGAGCTGAAGGCATACGATATCGAACTGCATGGTGCAAACGGGATGCCCAAGCCAGTGCAGATCTCAGTCAGCACGCTAGCTGGTGAACATGCTAGCACCCAATCATCCGAGTGGTCATCCCCCTTCCCGATTTTCAATGGACTCTGGACCCTCAACCGCAAGGGTCTTGTTTTCAGTAAGGTGCTCCTTCTTGAGCAGGACATGGCACCAACATGGGCCGCCTGGCTGCCAGAAGGGGCACTCAGTCCGCATTCCACGCGCGCTTCCACTGTTCTTATGAGGAGTGGACCTCAAAGGCTGGCAACAAGAAGATGCACCTTGAACAGCATGAATCAGTTGGTCCTCATGCAAGGTGGAGCTTCAAACTATTTGGTGTGATTAGGGTTAAACAGTGACGCGTTTGAGGAAGCCAGTCTACAATGGACGGCCGCTGTCACGCTCCCTCCACCGTAAAGTCCCACCAGAAGATCAAGGTGAGAAGTGGAACGACGAGAAATTTGCCACTGAGATTTGCACCGTTGGAGTTTTGCTCCGGTCGGTGTCTCTGTCATGGAGTTTCGCTACTGGCTTTGTAGCTAAGGTTTTTGTTGATGAGTGGACCTGCATCGCATGTCGCAACTGCACCCGCCTTAGGGAGACGATGGCCAAATCCGGCATCGATACAATGTGACAATTTGCACGGAATCTGGTTAGTTGCAAAGCTGGAGTTTCCGACTGAGAGGGTCCACCTTTGATGGTGCTAAGTTACGGTGCTAAGGCTGCGATGTTGCACCCCGAACTTTTTGTATCGATGCAGATGCAGGGCGTGCACGTGTGTCTTGGCAAGTGGAGCTGAGTCTAAGAGTGTGGCATTCTGTTGTTTCACCAGCTTTGAGAATCTCATGAACTTGCCGAGCACCCCGCATCAGCCCAATTGTTCTTTGAGATGGAAGGGTGGTGGCGTTGCCCTCCGGTTCCGCGTGTCAGCATTGCCCCAATAAACCCATGGCACACGTCAAGAAGCTGCCGACGATGCCAGCCCAGTACATGACATAGTACAGCTGAGGTCTTCGCACAGTGGGGCAACAGCGAGGAGTTGCTGGACTATGCTGTTGTTGCCCGAGTTCTGCTGTTTTTGCGTTGAATGCCAAGCAAAATGTGCGCGCACGCCCGGACTTTTGGGGGAACCACCAAGCCAAGGTGCAAGCTTGTCCGGTTGACTGCATCTACTGGGTGAGTCGGGATGAGCTACAAGTGCTGGAGTATGTGACGAGGGACCGCCGCTGGACATGTGAGGAAGATCCTACATAACCCTCGCAGCCCGGTGTTCAAAGACACTGACACTAAACCCCGTGAGAACTTAGGAATGTTTGAGAATGGCAACACTGTCCCGTGCTCAATGGCTGCTCGTCAGGGTACCGGCGGAGGTGCCTTGGCGAAAAGCGGACCGCTGGGTTGGACTTGTTCCCAGTCCACACGAACCCATCAGACTTTGTAGAGCTTTTGGGGATGCTGTCTTGGAGGCCTGGAAGATCCCTTCACTATGGCCACAGACTTCAAAGCAAAACTGGAGGAAGAGGCAGAGAGGAGGAAGCGGAACCAGCAGCAAGGCGGGCTGCTTTGGAGCAATGCATTTTTTGCATTTACCGGCTTCTGTTCAAAGAGAACTATACAATGATAACTGATAAGAGTTTATCAAACTTGTCAATGTATACACGTTATGTTATGTGTAGTTGTGCTCATCCTTGCAGTACTTGCAGTGTTTAGGAGAGGTTAGCGCATCAATCTCGGAGATGCAAGAAAGGTCCGCCCGGTGGAATGATGACGAGTATGTTTCTTGCAAAGTCTAACGAATGCATGGAGATTCTCCTTTGGGAAGTTTCAGTAGCAACAAAAAGCAACTGAGTCAGCTGCATGGCAGACATGGCAGGATTCGGGTTCTTTTCAGCAATCTCAGTGAGAGATTGCGTACCGCTGGCTGGGGATGAGCGCTTGAGCCGCCTTGGCGGTGGCCATCGCTTCTCCGCGTAGTGCCCATTCACAGCCATGTAACATCAACACCATTCATGCTGCAAGGTCTGCCTTCAGAACAAGGAGGCTTTCTTTGTTTCAGATGGTGTGTGCAGAGCACAGGGCTTCTCTTGGGATCCAGTGACAGGCCCCTTTGAGGGAGGCCAGTCAGTGTGAGGCTGATTTGTTGGGAATCCCGAAGGAACACAGGGTCTTTTGACCCCGCATCCCACAAACACTCAGCGTATCTCGGCGTACATTCACACATGTGCACACACACACACACCGTCATGCGCACCTGTCTCAATCTCACTCTCTCACTCACTCACTCTCTGTCTCTCTCTCTCTCTCTATTAGTATACATGCTTTTCCTCAGGGCCTGCTTGGCGCCCAGATGCCCAACATGATACAAAAATTAAGTCACTTGTCAGCTGTGCTGCTGAGCCTTTTTTGAAGTGACAATGTGAGGGCCGCAGCTAATGGCTTGGGATCCAAAGCCGGAACAGCTTGTTGAGCCTAAACTCATTGAGAATCTTAGTTGGCCAGGATGCTGGGGTCAAGTGGAGGGACATGCTTACAGATGTTGAAGCCATAACTCCCAGCATTTTTGATGGCACTTTTTCCTGGGCACGCTCACGAAATTGAGCGTTCAGCGTTGAGAATGCAGGAACTGCATGGATTGTAATTCTCATTTTTGTTTTCCGTGAAAAGCAGCAGCTCAGCACATCGTCCCGCAGGGACACGTGTGCAGCAACGGTTCACTTCTACCTCTGCAGAGTTACGGCCAATGTTTCTATTGATTGACAGCAGAGGTGGCAGCGGTAATTCATTTGGGCATTCTTCCTGCGTTGAGTGCGTGTGCGAGGCATCCCATGCCTAAAGATCAGACAAGATCAGAGCTTTCAGCTCTCACAGGTTGAGGCTCTGGCTAAACCTCCAGAGTTTGTGATTGAATAAACACACCGCGTTTCATGGCCTACGGCCTATTATGCTTGAAGAGTCTGGCCTTTGCAGCCCTAGCTGTTGTATACCACGATCAAACCCGGGCTCTTCAACGATCAACTTCAGGTCCTACGCTGAAGAGGCGGAAGAGCAGGTCAGTCCCGCAGGCTGCGGGATTTTGTGGAGAATGACGCTTTGCCAAAGGATTGACATACATCCATGTGGAATGCTTGCAATGTTTGCAGCCACTTCGGTTTGAGTGGAAGCTGAAGGCTTTTCACTACCCTAATCCAATTCCACATCACTTGTGGACCCGCCTCCGATATACTGTATAACTCGTTCAAACGATGGGAGTGCTCTCAACACATTCATTCGGAAACATATGTATATATAATTTCGAATGAATTGGAAGTGTTTTGCCGGCTGGTACCGTAGTCCAGAAGCCAGCTTGGGATTTTTGCCAACAGTACCTCACGCCTCACCATAGCCTCTAGTGGTCCCAACAATAGCCACCGGTCCTAGCAGTAACCATGGAGAGCTCAAGGTCCAGGTCGAGGCGGGGTTTGAAGCTTCTGCGACTTGGATGCCTTGAATCGCGTGGCCGTGCCACATGAGATCGCACGCAGTGCATTGCTTCAACTGATCTTTAAGGACATCTCCGTTTTGTTGAGTGCCAGGTCAAGGTCGAATGGCCGAAGGGGCCATCGAGTGACGCTTGGCTGCCGAACCTCCACTGTTCGACGATGAGCCATGAGGATGTCCGGCACGAGGTTAGAGTGGCAGTATCACGCAAGTAGAGCGTCCTCACTTTTTTGTGGTTGGCTGCCTGTTTGACCAAGGATGCACGTACACTCAGAAGTCACAGGCTGCGCAGTGAGAAAGCCCCTAGGGCAGTGCGTGCCGTGCTTCCCAAGCCCAACGTTCATTCGAACATGTTCGTGGCAGGCGCCCTCATTGGAAGAGGTGGAGAGAAGATCAACGCACTCTGCAGAGAAACTGGCGCGAGAATTGAAATCTCTCGTGATGATGTTGGCCCAGAACCTTAGCCATGCTTTTTCTCTTTTTGTACTCCTCCGTCCGGATGGTTCAGCAATCTCTGTAATTTTTTTACCAGTTTCCTTTTCTGGCACCTCCACTAGTGCACTGAAAGTCCTTTATGCTGATATTGGCACTTTGACAGTTGAAGGAGTTCTGCTGGATGATTTGCCGGGTTCCACACTTGTGAACTGGTGTACGATCCGAGGAGAGGACGGTCACTATTACTGGTTCGGAAGATGCAGTCGACAAGGCTGCCCGAGCTATTGAGGAGATTCTTAGCAACGATCGAAAATCATTGGCGCATCAGCCGGAGCACGAGAAGGTTATGTATGTCTCTGGAAGCTTTATTGGCAGCTTGGCAGCCATGTGCCATCAGAGCACGGAAGCCAGAAAATCTTTGAACACCAGAGCATCTGAGGTATGATCATAGGACGAGGAGGAGAGAGCATCAAAGCAATGTCACGGGAGAGTGGTGCAAAAATCGAGGTGTCAAAGGATGATGTTGGCGACCGAGATGCAGATGCTTGGATGTCCGCCTGTTGTGGCCTGTTGACTGGTAATTGGGCATTATTGGGCATTTGGACATCAAACACATTGACCTTTTGTTGCAAGATGTCCTCAGTCGGCGTCCTCAGCCGCCTTTGTAGTCTTCGATCCATTCTTCATCCGAGACTCCCGCCGCGTGTTCTGAGGACCGGAGGGTCACTATCCACGGTACGGCCGAGGCGGTGGAGAAGGCGAGCCAGATGATCCAAGACATTGTGTCACGCTCTGAAGAGGAACAGAACCTTGGGAAGATAAAAGACGATCAATGATAATTGTTGAAAGTAATATGGATCACGCAAGCAATGACAATAAACCAATAAGATGACCCTGTGGTCTTCGGAATTATGCTCATGTCATCCGTTGCACCCCGTTTTCTAAGGAGCGAGAGGGGTTCGGTGATCGAGCCGCCAGCTGGCTTTGAAGATTGTGAGCACGAAGATTGGCTCTACAATGCAACGACTCAAGAGTTCTTCAGCAAGAAAACCGGTGCGCTGGCATGGCTGAATGCTGGCATTTTTTGTCCTATTCGTAGCTTGGCTTCCAAGAGTGCCAGCCCGGAAAGCTGGGAAAGGATAGGTGTAGCAGCATAGCATGGCTAGCTAGGTCCAGCTAGGTTGTGGAGTCGTGGGCAGTTACCATCAGCGGCACAATCACTTAGCAGCATATTGAGGTGAGGGCATCAATCACCAAGACGTGCAAGTCTTTTCTGGCACTGCAGTGATCGGAAGTGATCAAGGCCCTGCCCCAAAGACGGCAATTATCCCAGACCTCCATCGAGTAGCCCTGGCTTTGAAGATGCCCTTTGATCACGTGGATCATCCCTCTGGGATGGTGGCAGCCTTTGGTTCAACGGAGGCTGTGCCCGTAGATCACGCCGCGCGGGGGTTCCATGAAAAGCTCCTGAGAAGGATTTCCTCATGGCGCAGTGCTTGGTTGGACCAGGCCTGGTTTGGAGCGCTCACAGGTGCAATTCTGGACCTGGTGAGCGGTAGCACTTCAGGCAGCTTGCCGGTAATGGGGGCCGCCCTACTGCTAGGGCGGAAGGTCATTGCCGTGTCGGCCCCGGGTGCGCACGTGTGCCTCATGCTGGGCAGCGAGGGCTGCGAAGCGGTGACGCCGATGGAAGCACAAGGCTCACTTTGCTGCTTCGCCAGCTTGCCGCCAAAGGGTGACAAGAATTCTTCGGTCTATGTCGCGGTGATCGCCGACGGCAAGGGCCAACTTGAACCGATTGAGGATTCAAAGATCTGCTCTGCTGTCGGCCCGCATCTCGACCCCCAGCACTCTGATACGACCAAAGAGAGAGAGAGAGAGAGAGGACAGAGAGAGGGAACAGTTTGACTGGAGACCTTCGCAGCTTGCCCCATCCCATCTCTGTGTTTCAGTCTTTCCAGTCAGCATCTAGCTGACCAAGGTCTTTGCATCAAAGACGCCCGAGGGCTGCTGCCTTGGCCCTGGCCCGTGTGGCCCGAAAGGCACCAGAATGATGTGCTATGGTAGTACTGAGATGGAACCAAGAAGATGTACTGTAAGAAGATTGTGTAAACACGGCAATTGGGCTTGAAGCGCGCTTTCTCACTGCTTGAGTGCCTTGCTGAAAGTATTTTGGGGCCTAACTGGTGTTCGCGAGATCGGCTCATCCAGCAGTCAGACTGCGCACTTGCAGGCTGGTTCTACCGGACCCTTGGCTTCGGCCTGTGCTTGTTTGGGTTGGGAGGCGCAGCCCTATGGATCACTTGCGATTGCCCTGGAAACGAAGGTGTTGGACGGATGACAGCAGAAGACGGGTGACAGCGACTGCATGTGCGCTTCGACGCGCCAGGACTCACCAGGCAAGAAATCGGATCCGAAAAGGCCGAGATCCGTGTCTTGGCATCGATCAGTGTCTTGGATGGGTGTTCCACATCGATCTCCTCGGGCTTTCCTTCTAAGGAGCAGCTGAACAAGGTGCGAGTTCGGCAAATCCTGATCCGCTTCTGGTCTGGCGCCTTGACAAAAGAAAGAGCTTGCTTGCCGGCTTGCCTTGTTTTCATTTTGCTTTGGTCAGTTCTGAAAACTGGACCAAGGTAAAGGTCCCCACCCGGTGAACCCGGTGAACAGAAAGCCAGTCACCCGGAGAGTTGACGAAGCAGAGATGGAGATGCTTGTGCCTTGGAGTTCTGGAATCGTTGCTGAACGATGGTCGATACCTTTGACTAGAAGGATGGCAGTGACAGAGAGTGGGCCCTAGTTGCATTTCAGACTTTAGACTAATGCCAATATCTCAGGAGATACTTGAACAGCTTATAGCTGAGAAGTGCCAGAATTTTGCCTCACTTTGCAAGTCTTCCTCAGAATGTGGATCCGCACTGCGGGGTGGTGCTGACAATGGTGACCTGGGATGGCTGGAGCGCAGAGCTTGCGTGTAAGTAGGGGCAGTCTCGTACCTTCGTGTGTGTTGGCGGGAATGATGATTCAGTTACAGTTGCATCCTTGAGTGTTTCCAGTCCCAGGACCAAGCGAAGGTGGCCGCTCTAGCAAAGGCCAAAGGTCAGCCAGGTGGACCCAAGTCAGCCTCTCGTTGAAGATGCAGGGCTTTTAGAAATCTCTCAACACACATTTTCACAATTATAGAATTGGAACTGATTTAGCATAGCAAGATTATAGCAAGATTACTTGTACAGACGTGGGGGGGGAGAGAGGACTTGCAAAGCTGCCCAACGAGGCTCTTTGCAAACGTCCAGAGGAAGTGGAAACTGATCACTTCTGTGTACCTGCACGTTTTTGGTGATGCAGAACCTTTCCCGTTCGAGGTCTTCCTTTCTCAAGGCTGTTTCTGCAGTTTCAGGTTTTTTCTACTGTAAAGTGCCAATGAGTCCGACCGATTTGATACTGCAAACGCCTCCTTCCGAGCTTCACTCTAAGTAAGTGTGTGTGTACACCCCTTGGAGTCACAGGGGTCCTTTTGGGTTCTTTTGGTTTGTTTTAGCAGGGGGGCTATCCCACATTGCAGCTGATTGCGCAACAAAGAGGGCTGTAAGTGTGGCTGATATGCGGAAGGGACGCCTTCTGGACGTACCTGCTTGGGTGTGGTGTTTACAAGCTGTTACTCTCAGCACAGACGTCGTCATCCCGATCGATGCGTGATCGTCGGTTTTGAGCTTTGGGTCTCATTTTCGCTTAAGGACCTCCAGGATCCACAATTTTTCGGCGTTCCTCTCAGGAATCTGGTTCCTTAGGTTGCCGTGTGGCGAGCGGCATTCGAGTCAGTGCGCATGTCAGTAAATGTGTCTCTCCTCAGTGAGGGCCCAGGGTGGCCCCGAAGAGTGGCCCCCGTGGACCCGTCGGACGCCGGAGCGGACAGCAGGAGGCTTATGGCAAAGTTATTTGCCAAGACTTGCTGAGTTATTGCATTCCAAGCTGGACGCCATTTTGGCATGCCTTTAGGTTACCGCAGCGGTCTCAAGTAGCCCGCCATTTTGGCATGGCACAAGGTGACCACACGTTTAGTTTCATTGGAACCTGTCGCAACCTCAGGTGCACACACTCTGACATTGGTTTTCAGTTAACTCAATTGCCACGATGGGAAGGAAGGTGAGGGAACGGAAAGGTGCATGAGTCCGCAGAACAGTATTGTTTAACAAAGTTTCAGAACGAGCGCAAGTGGAAGCGGCTGCAAAGCTGAGGGAAACTTGTTTTGCGGGTGGAAGCATGAAGGACCATGAAAGCAAACCGATCAAATTGGACAGCTTGAAAAACAGTTCTTCCTGCAGGTACAGGAGTGTGCGTCCACATTCCCTTCCGGCTGAATCCCGTAGCTTCGTTGGCATGGCTAGGGAAACAGCTGCCATGCCCCCTGCTTTCGTGAAAAGTGGGAGTGATTGGAAACCCTTGCAAACAGGGTGTGACACACACAACAAGCCGATCTCGGCGCGAATGTGGAGCAGTGGAAAAACGGACCTTTTTCAAAAACCGCCTGCACGCTTGCAGGTCGTGCCCTTTTTGGGCGTAGAGTTGGACCAGTGCTTCTGCCGCGGCGGTGGCGTTGTGGGGTGGAAAAGTGTATGTGTAAATGGCGTGGAGTCTGGAAGCTAAGCCGGAAAGAGCCAAGCGCTGGCTACCGGCGCTGGTGTGATCCCTGATTTTCCAGGGTTGGGTGGGTTGCATGTAGGTGATGGTGCGTTGCTGGAGGTTGATGTGAAAGCCCAAAAGGTGAAAGTCATCCACAGGTTCCAATTCGACGGGATCGCCGAAAAAGTTGTTGTGAATGAGGGTCTGTATTGCGGGATGTGAAAGGATGTGTTCATTGTGGACAATGAAACGGTTGTCAACGTAGCGATAGTATGTGAAGTGGAGGGCGGTATGTTGGAGAAGGTTGTTGTGGAGCTGGTGCCATGAATGTTCAATGAGTGTGATGGCGACGTTGCAAAGGGCAGGTGAGAGCTGGGAGCCAATCCCAGCTCCCCGGATTTGCTTGTAAGTGTTGTTGCATGCCCGGAAAATGCAGGTGTCGAGTGCGTAAGCCACAATTGTCGTGATGTCAGCAGTGTGGATGGTGCGCTGTGTAGGATGGCGAATGTGGTGCCTGCCAATGTGGGAGTGGTGGAAAGGATTGCCAGTGGCTTTGGTGTCGACTGTAAGGGTGTGGGTGTTGTTCTGGCGCTGCCATTGCTGAATGAGAGAGTGAACGGCGTCAATCAGGCGGTGCTGGGGAACGGAGTTGAAGAAGCCGACGAGATCGTCGTTGGTAGCATGTAAGGGGATGTCAGGAGGTGTGTGGGTGAGGTAGCAGTGGAAATGGGACCAAAGCTGTGGAATGGACAGTTGACCTGGATGTTGGGGGAGGAGATGTTGTAGTATAATGTCGAGTGCTCTGCTGGTGATGTGGAGGAGACTGCCGCTCAGGGACTGGAAGTACGATATGATTGTGCGGCCTTTGCGCCAATGCTTCTTCTCCTTGAGGTGGACGATGCCGTATGGGATCGTGAAATCCTTTCTGAAGCCCCATTTGTAGCGTGTGCGGAGGCTGGAGGGGACGGTGTTCAGAAGGTAGTCGTGGATGTTTGAGGGGTGGAGTGTTGGCGTGGGTGCAAAGAGTTCAGGGGACTGCCAGGTGGCGAGCGCCCCGGTGAAGTATTGGCGGGGGCAGAAAATGCGCAGCTGTTGTAGTTCATGGTCGGCATGGTGGAGAACAACTTGATCGCCCAGGAATTCCTGGAGTTGCCGCAGAAGGCGAGCCGTGAAGCGGGGTTGCTGTTTCAAATGGGTGGGAAGGGCTCCAAGTGCTGTGTAAGAGAGGTTGGGAGGCCTTGTGTTCGCAACCATTTGGTGAACGCAGTCTGAAACGAGAGGAAGTATCTGGCCTTGCTGGGGTAAAAGGCGCTGTTCATTCATATTGGCTGCCAGGAAGATGCGGAGATGTGGTGGTAGTGTGAGTTGGTCAAGGGTGAGGATGTAATGGTCGTCGACTGTGGGTGTGGTTGGATCGAGAAGAATGGTTTTGAGGTGGGCGCATGCGCATGGCAAGTCACTGGAATCCGGAGGGGTGTGCAACGTACCCTCCCAGGTTCGGTGATTATGAAGGTGGGCCCTGAGGGTCTTGTGGGCTGCTTCCCGCAAGCGATGAGTGGGCAAGTGGAGCGGGATGGCCAGGTGTTTGTGCTGTTGTATGGTCGTCATGAGCCACTGTTCACAGTGCTTGGTGAACTGGTCGTGTGCTAGGAATGGGATGGTGAGTGGAATGTTGGGTTTGGGAGGACTCAGGTTGCGGTATTTGAGCGCCTGGTTGATGATGTGCAATGCTCTGCTGCGGCCAGGTTCCTCCAAGTTGGAGGCCATACGTCGGATGGCATAGACTTCCAAGTCAGTGTGTTTGCCGCTGCGGAGTTGCTTGGCTGCTTCAAAGGATGCCAGTGTGTGTTTCGTGAGATTGCGAAGGAGAGTGAGGGCGTGTAGCCGAGTAGAGGTGAAAAGGTGAGGTTCGTGAATTGTATGTTGGCGCCTGCGTAGCCTGTGAAAGAGTCGCTTGTGGGTGGCTAGGCGGGAGTAGAAATGAGCTCGGTGTTTGGTGAATTGCCAACCTTGAGCTTTGAGCTTGAGGTGATGGGAAATGAAGGGCCAACGGAGAGGGGGCAACCAGTTGGAGATGAGGTAGTGCTCCTGTATCCAGGCTTGGTCATGGGTGTCATGAGAAGAAAGCTGAATGGGGGTGAAGTGGTGGATATTGTTGTGAGAGTGCCAGTAACGGAGGGAAAGCTCCGCTGAAATGGGAATATTGTTTTGCAGTTGTTTGAGTTTGGCTCGACGGTTGTGTTCTCGGTGAGGGATGCCGATGCCGGTGGAGCCGACATAGAAATGGCCGTGCTGGTGGTAGCAACGGTAAGGTGTAGTGGGGTTGAGATAGAGTTTGACATACACAGCGTTGGGAGAGAGAAAATTGTGGTAGTGGTAGGTGTGGGGCTGTATGTGGAGGTGTTGGAGTCGTTGACGCCATTGTTGTGACCGTTTTGTGGACGAGGGGTAGCAAAACATGAGTGTAATGTGGATGAGCCCCACGGCGAAAATAGCCTCGGCTCGTTCGATGTATTGGCTGTTGTGAATGAGGGTGGAAAGAGCTTGGTGTAGGCAGAAGAGTTGGTGGAGTAAAGTGTGGTGCGGCTGGTGTTGGCTGGTCAGGGATAGTCAGCATGCAATGGCAACTCCCACGCTGACAATGTGTTGGAGGCTCTTAATCGAGAGCTTGGTAACTCGATTGAGGGGTAGGCCATAGCGAGTGGCGGCCTCCTTAAGCTGATCGGTGGTGACCTTGCTTGTTTGGAGCAGGCGCAAGATTTCTTGGCTGACTCCTGGACTTTGGGTTCAAAAGTCCGCATCCACTGTTGGATGGAGGGCCCGGTCCAGGCTTCCGGGGCGTCGTCCTTGAGGGTGGGGTAGGACGGTTGGAGCACGTCGGGGAGTGCTGGTGGTTGATGAGGTTCGGTGGGGGCTACAGCCGGAGCACGGGCCTGGAGCTGATCGGTAAGGAGTGTGATAAGTCTGATAAGTGGAGAGTGGAAAGCCCGGGCTTGTGTTGTTTTGTTGGGGGTGGTGGTCCGGCTTTGGTGCGCATGGCCTCTGCGATAGCGTCCAAGTCCAGGCGCTTATCGCGAATCTCCTGTAGGAGGTGGGTGGTAAAAACGGATTCGGCCACGCTTCTGGTTGGGATGAGGCCGCAGAACTTGCCATGACTGAGGGTCCTCGCTGTATAGTCAGCGGTTCCGTGGTATGCGAGGAGCCAGGGGAAGACCTCAAATGTTGGCAAGCCTGCAATCCCGACTCGTCGGGGCCATTGCGTCGGCTGGATGTGGCGGTGGAGTTGATGTCCGTGAAGGGCGTTGGAATCCCAACAGGTGTCAGTGGAGTGCCAGGATTCCTGGACTGTTGGGGTTGGGAATGGAACTGTGGGAGGAGGTGCAGGCGGAGCCGAGTGGCTGGGGCTGTGCTTGAAGGAGGTGTGGGTTGGCGTTGTAGGAGAAGCGGTAGGGAGCGGTGGTGGTGGTGGCGGTGGGAAAGAAGGGCTGGTGCCGGTTGGTGG